TACAATTAATTAAATACGTATTTTTGCATTTTTCGAAATTCATCCCATAAGGGGGTAAAACAGTGAATGAACTTTTGTATGAATATGTTTTCATTTGTTCAAATTAAATTGCGGTATCTTTACTTCAACCACGCGCAAAGATTAAACGCTCTCATTTTTTTTATTTTAATGCTTTTTCTCAATGTATTTTATTTGAAGAATCTATATTTTTAAATTTTATTGGTTTATGAATATTTTTTGACAACGACAAGTTAAACAGCCATCCCTGTAAAGTATTTGTTATATATAGGTATATACTTTAAAATATATTGATAGATGCAATATATGTATATCGATGTTTTAGTTAGTGAGAGTCCGAGATTTTGTTTTTTATCCGTTTATGTTATTTATTTTTATAAATAGAACCCGTAATTATAAAATAAAATACAACTTATATAGAGTGGAATATTTTATGTTTTTTACTTTTAAATCAGTTATATATATTAGTATTAAAATTGGTTATCTTATAATGAACAAACTTACACATTTATTTTGTTTAGGAGTCTAACAGGTCATAGTCTATCTGTATACTTAAAGTTATTTAAATCCGTCCAGCTGTGTAAGCGTGAAAGAGTAACAAACATACATACATATTATATACAAACTTTCGCATTAATAATGTTAGTTTGATATTATTAGTTTCAAGCAACCATAATGTGCATTAAGTACCCCCTACTAAAAAGCATATGACGTAGCTTTAAAACAAAACGGCTCACTACGCACTTTACTGTTACGTCAACTTAACGGCGTCGCTGACACTACAAATACTGAAAGTTGCTTGACGAGAAGTTTTTAAGACTTTAAGTAAAATTAAAATTATAAAGTTGAAATTTGGGAAAATTTATGACTATGTTTTTATCTCTTTTAATTATAACAGTTTTATTATGAATCTTTTCTATACGCACTCTTTAATTTTATAGTGAACTAGCTATTTTTCCTTGCTCCACTCCGGTTCTTCCAAAGGTATTAAAGGTTAGTATAAATTTTTTAGAGATGAGATATTTTCTTGCAGTAAAAAGTATCCTGTGTTGACCCGAATAACCAGCTATAATCATACCTATCAAAATCTGTCTGTCTTGTGTGAGTGTTTTTCTCGTGATGCGTTTTCAGACAGACAAACAGACAGACAAATATTCTCAAAACTATGAATTCGTCTCTGTATCGATAATAATGACTATTTCAGTAAGTTTTCCAAAAAATATTTAATATACAGATTGGCTTCAGAATTTTATTGTATGTATAGATATATAAAATTATTTATTGAAAATTGTGTTTGCCTTACGGCATTGGCGATAGAAAAAGGTAACTTTGATTTTATAATATTTGATTTTTATTACTGCTGCTTGTTATGGTAAGTAGTTATTATTATCACTTATTACTACATATAATTAAAATAAGATTCTCACCCATAAAGAACATATTTATAGATTTATATATGTATGTACAAATATTGGCACAAGTTTAGTATTAGGGACGCGGCCCCTGGCAGAGTGGGTGGTATTTCTGGATAGGGGACGTGATAGGGAGTCCAAATATATAAAAATTATTTTAGGGAAACAAAAGAGTCAAAAGTTATTGAAACTTAAAGTTACAACATTTCCATACATTTTCATACATTTCTTTACCACCATTCGGAGTGGGTGGTATTTCTATATAGGGGAGGTGACAGAGAGTCAAAATATATTAAAAATATTTTGAGGAAACGTACGAGTAAAAAGTTATTGAGACTTAAAGTTATAACATATCTAACACATTTCCATACATTTCTTTACCTAAATAAGTGATTACAACAGAATAACATACCTTTAACGAATAGTACGCATCCTTTTTTATGTACAATACATATTTTCACAACAATTAATGCTTTATTGTATTTAATATTTTAATAATTTCACAACAACACAAACAAAATGATCTTACATTTTGACAAAAGCAAAACTGTCACTTTGTTTTGCATTACCGCTTAAATGACAACAGATTATATTTGATTATTTTTGCCTTTTCTGTTGGTAATATTAATAAATAAATAAATAGAAAAACATTATTTTCATAAATAAATAAATAAATAAATAGAAAAATATAATAAATAAATAAATAGAAAAATATTATTTATTTATTATTCATCATATCTTGGTTAGGTTAGGGTTAGAACAGTTCCCGGGGGAGAAGCCAACTCCTACCGGGCGCGTCCCCAGGTGGCGGATAGGGGAATGCCACCCGCTTAGGGCGGCGGGTGGTACCGGAGAAATCCGGCGCGGACCAAATGGCTTGGGTGGGGCCGCTCGTCTGGGCCTCGAGCCGAAGACGTTGCGGCCACCGGTGGTGGGACCGTTTGGTCCCACAACCGGATGATGGGTGCCGGTTGCGGGACTGTGGTCGCAGGCCCGCATCCGGCGGAGGAGTAGGCCGCGGTGGGAGAGGAGTGCCGGTATTTCGGTGCGCCGTTCTCCCTACCTTCCGCGACCTAGACGGGGCCGCCACCGTTTGATGGCGGACGCGGTGGGGCTGCAGGGGAAGAGGAGTGTCGGTGTTTCGTTGCCGCTCTCCCTGTCCTCTGCAGCCGATTGGAGGTGGCCCACTTCGGTGGGCGGTGGTTGGTTTTAATGGGGCTGCTCCGGGTACCTCTCTGGCGTAGCAGAGTTGACTGTGGAGCAGCCCCATTGGTTTGGTGGTCTGCCTTTTTAGGCAGACCTGCCGCCGGGGCGCCGTAGTAGTTATGCGCAAGCGATCCTGCGGCGTCCCATTAAGGCGGAGGGGAGGGGAATGTCGGGTTTTAGTGGGTAGTACCGGCTCTTCTAGCCGGTGAGCCCCACATCACCACCTGGGGGATCAGGTGGTATGCGTAAATGCATTTCCCGACATAAAAAAAAAAAAAAAAAAAGAAAAAAAAAAAAAAAAAAGGTTAGAACAGTTACCACAACGCACGAGCCGAGCGAGCGAAGCGAGCGTGCCGCGATAGCGGCCGGCGAGTGCCATAAATGACTAGAAAACTAGAAAATTCGAATTTCACGCAAAGTACAAATAAAGACATAATCATCTGGAGATCATTTTGACAATTGAAAGTAACGTTTTGACATTTCCAAGTGTCTAAATGGTAGTAATGTCAAAATAATGTATGAAAATGTTGTAACTTTAAGTCTCAATAACTTTTGACTCTTTTGTTCCCTCAAAATAATTTTTATATATTTGGACTCCCTATTAGCTGCCCTATACAAAAATACTACCCACTCCGCCAGGGGCCGCGTCCCTAATACTAAACTGCAGCCCAAATATTTAGTACGCGCTTCTTTCACTTCGTTTCTCTCAGCAATAGATCGACATTCTTAAAAGCATTAATTTTGTTTTATTTTTGTTGAAAAATTGGTTTATTTTTACTTGTTTATTAGTTTAATTGTACAAGATATAGTGCAATCAATAGTCTTTACAGCCTTAAGATTATTAGCGTTCACTAGCGAGCACGTTGCTATTCGAATCCTTCTGACAGGCTTCTTTCAACGGCCTCTTTCCTCACACGTTCCGGTCAACGCTTTAACATGCCCCCGGCCTTGGAAGGTCCTACTTCCAACAGTCTCCACGGTCTGTTGCTGAATCGAGTGGTAAGGGGCAGATCTTGGAAAAAGCTCGTCTCGTGATGGCTCCAGAAGCTGTGCGGATTGATGCTACTCGAGAAATTCCATCTTTTCCGGGGAAGGTAGAAACAATGCGTCCCATACACCACTTGAGAGGAGGGCTGTTGTCATCCTTGATCAGCACAAGAGTTCCTTCCTTCAGTGTGTCACCAGATTTCATCCACTTAGTTCTCACTTGTAGCTCCGATACATATTCTTTTGACCATCGGGTCCAGAAGTGCTGCCGGACTTGCTCCACTCTTTGGTAATGTGTGAGTCGATGCGGTGCGATTTGCTCGTAATTTTCGCAAGCAGGTGAGGTCAATGGACGACCAACCAGAAAATGAGCTGGAGTGAGCGGGGAAAAATCATTTGGATCTGTAGACATGGGAGATAAGGGACGAGAGTTTAGAACGGCTTCCACCTGTGCTAATACCGTACTGAACTCCTCGAATGTAAAATTAGCGTTACCTAGAACCCGCCTAAGATGGTGTTTGCACGATTTCACCCCTGCTTCCCATAAGGCACCAAAATGTGGGGAATATGGCGGAATGAAATTAAATTTAATATTATTGTTAATAGCATAATCCTTAATATTATCTGCGCAATTGTGTAAAAATTTTGAAAACTCTGCCATTAAACCAGTGAAGTTTCTTCCGTTATCAGAAAATATTTCTGATGGTTTGCCGCGACGAGAGATAAATCGCTTTAACGCTAGTAAATATGCATCAGTAGATAAGTCACCCACTAACTCAAGATGAATAGCTCGAGTTGCAAAACATATGAATAAACTAACGTAAGCTTTAGTTAACCTAGCACCTCTACCTTTCCGATTTAGTACAAACACTGGCCCGAAATAATCAACTCCACTAATGGCAAACGGAAAACTGACAGATAAACGTTTAGCAGGTAAGTTGCCCATTAATGGAGTTAGAGTTTTACCGCGGAACCGAGTGCAAACGACACACTCATGTACAACTCTTTTTGCAAGATTCCTACCGCTGATAGGCCACCAAGACTCTCGAATAGTAAATAATAATAACTGCGGTGCTGCATGCAGTTGCCGTATATGTTCGTAGCGAAATAATAGGTATGTGAAATGATGCTTAGATGATAAAAGAATAGGATGTTTTTTGTCAAAGTTAAATTCAGACACATTAGATAAACGCCCCCCTACTCTTATTAATTTATTATTATCGAAAAATACGTTTAAATTTTTTAAATTGCTCTTAGTTAACTGTTTATTTTTAGATAAAGCATCATATTCAAGGATCGATTCCCGTTGTGATAATAAAGCAAGTGTACTCACAGCCTCTCCCAGCTCATCCACACTCAAAGCACCCGATCGTTTTAAGTTTGTTTTATGGCTATTATGTAGAAAACGTTTAATATACGCCATGGTGCGTTGAAGGCGGTTAAACTGAGAGAACCTGGAAAATGGAAAAAGAGACTGACTAGTACAATCATTAGAATTGTCATTCCTTACATGTAAACTTTTAACCTCTGGGAGATTAATTATGTTATTTTCCGTATTAGTTGAATGTAATTTAAAATTAGGATCTTGTAAAAATTGTGGACCATTCCACCATAACTTTGAGTCTTTTAACGTTTTTAAATCGATATCCCTTGATACTAAATCAGCTGGGTTATCGTGGCTTGCTACGTGCTTCCATAAATAATCCTGCGTCAATTCTTGTATATCAACTACCCTGTTCTGTACATACGTTTTAAGTTGATAAGGTGCCATACGCAACCATCCTAATACAATAGTTGAGTCGCTCCATAGACAAACATCATCAAATCGACAGCGAAGCGATTCAACTATTTTTACACACAGCCTAGCTCCTGTCAAAGCACCACACAGCTCAAGCCTAGGGACAGTTAATATCTTTAAGGGAGCTACCTTACCTTGCGCGTATAGTAATTTCACTACAACCTTATCTTGCGTAAAAGAACGAATGTATGCACATGCTCCGTAGGCCTTTTGAGAAGCGTCAGTAAAAATGTGAAGTTCTAAGCGTATGTGATGTTTTGCAAAACTGTGACGTGGTATTCGCAAATTGCTAAGCTCATCAAGATCACCTATAAATTGAATAAATTCATTAATTACTTCTTGAGGTAATTTTGTATCCCACTCAATCTTTAATAACCATAATTTTTGTAATAATACTTTAATTGATATTATAGTTGCGCTGAGCAAGCCAAGCGGGTCAAAAATCTGCGATATAATGGATAAAATTGCACGCTTTGTTATATTACTAGGGACTTGAACCTTAGTTTGAAAATTAAGTTGATCAAGTTGACTAAGCCAGCTCAGTCCTAGAGTTTTTGATTGCGTTTGTTCACCTAAAGAAAGATTTTTTAATGTGTGTGACCCCGACAATGTATGATCATGGTCAAAATTGAATATCCACTTGCGAAGTGGAAAGCAGCCTTTGGCTAAAACCCTGGCTGTTTTCTCGCATAAATTTAATAATTCATTTTTATCATTCCCTCCTGTAATCATATCGTCAACATAAAAATCTTGCGTTATAACTCGCTTAACGTCAACGTCATCGCACTCTATAGCTAGTTGTTGTAAACACCTAACGCTCAAAAAAGGCGCAGACGCTGTTCCGTATGTAACCGTGTTTAACCTATAAATCTCGACAGGGGCTGCAGGATCATTGCGCCATAGAACAAGCTGGAGGTCGCGTTGATCTTCAGAAATTAAAACCTGTCTATACATCTTTTCGATGTCGGCGCATGCTATATACGTATTTTCGCGAAAACGCAATAGAATTGAAAATAAATCGCCTTGAATGGGTGGCCCGACCATCTGTAAATCATTTAAAGATTTGTTTGTCGATGACAATGCACTTGCATCAAAAACAACCCGTAATTTAGTTGTCGAGCTATTTTCATTAAATACACAAAAGTGCGGCATAAAAAAATGTATATTGTTGTAAGTGTAAACGCGAGTCATATGTCCTAACTGTATATATTCATTTATAAATTCATTATATAACTTTTTACAAATAGGTAAATAAGATAGTCTCTTTTCAAGTGAAATTAGGCGTTTATATGCCTGTGCATATGATTCCCCAAGTAAAGTAGGTGAGTCCCGAAAAGGAATTGAAACAATAAAACGGCCTTGACTATCCCGTTTAGTAGTTTTAATGAAATTATCTTCACAAGTCTTTTCTGTATCGGATAATGCAGGATATTTAACCGTGACCTCTTCCAATTCCCAAAACCTACGTAATTGAGAGTCGATTGACTGTGAAAAATTACAATAAACAATATTATTTAAACACGCAATTTCATTCACAGGACCCGACACAATCCAACCCAGTTTAGTATTTTGTAAAAAAGGGCCACTCTCGAGAGGTATTTTTCCGTCACATAATAACTCCCAAAAGTGATCGGCACCTATTAATATATCAATCGTATGAGCTTCCAGATAAGCGGGATCAGCTAGCGTAATAAAATCCGGAATTATTATTTTATCAATATTAATAGGTATAGATGGCATACTCGGTACTATCTGCGGCAGTACCAAACATTGTAAGCGCGTAGAATACTCGCCGTTTAACGAACTTATTTTTATTTTGCAAGACTGTAAACTTTGCGTGATAGAATTACCGATTCCTTGTATTTTGTTAATGGACTGTATTAATGGCGTGTTAATTTGATCGCATAGAGATTTTCGTATAAAACTGCATTGGCTACCACTATCTAGTAAAACGCGACAAGTAATTGTATTCCCTGAATCATCTGTTATATTGACTAGCGCGGTCGATAACAAAACAGGCTTAGTGAGTGACGCTTGCGCGCAATGTACGTCTGCACCATTCACCTGCGATAAAGGATGTTTTGCTTGTGTGCGTTGAGGTAATTGATAAAAATCACTACTACACTCGCCTTGCGCGGGCGCATGCAGCAGCGAAACTCGCTCTTCAGTCGGGCCGCTGTCGCGGTGAATGATAGTATTGTGCTTAGAATTGCACTTCCTACACGGTCCGAACTTACATGTATCTGCAGTATGAGCGGGACGCAAACAGTTTTTGCATAATTTGTTATTAATAACAAAATTTATTTTAGTGTCAATCGCCAAGTCTAGGAATTTTTGACACGAATACAAGTAATGATCTGCCTTACAATACGGGCATAACCTTTTAATAACTTTATTTGATTTTGACGTAGATAAATTACAATGAACTTTAGAATTATTATGTGACGTTTTTGTAATAGTTTTCGAATCATAACCTTGTTTATAATGTGAAACTTGCAACGTTTCTAACATATCAGCCCTAGCTTTTAAGAATTGTAATAAATCATTTACTTGTACTCGCGTCTTACAATCGTTTTGACGTTCATTCAACAAAAGATCACTCCTATATTTCTCCCACTCGCGTTCAGTAGTATTATCAAGCTTAGAAACAATCATATAAATAATTAAAGTGTCCCAGTGTTCCGTCGGTTCACCTAATAATTTAAGAGATCGCAGGTTTTTAAGTATAATGTCAATTAATTTGCGTAATAATATAGGTGACTCATTACTTAAATTTTTAATATTAAACAAAGCTTTCACATGATTGTGAATAAGAAGTCTGCTATTATTGTACCTATTCATAAGCAACTCCCAAGCAACATAATAATTATCCGGGGTAAATTCCAGGGAATCAATAACTAATACGGCAGGACCTTTCAAAGAGGATTTTAAATAGTGAAATTTTTGAATTGTACTTATATTATTTGACGTATGAACTAATGATAAATATGTATTTTTAAACTCGAGCCACTGTTCGTAGGAACCGTCAAATGTAGGTAAATTTATTGTAGGCAATTTTACCTAGGTCGTTCCCACAACTATTTGCATTGGGTGAATTACTATCATTATCTAGTATGCAATTAGCTTGAGCTAAGATAGTATAGTACTTACTTTCAAAGGATTCTCTCTCGTCGAGCTGTTCATCGTCCTGTGACTCAGGAAGAACCCCGTCTAGTTTGTTTTGTACATTGTTAAATTCTGACAATATATTGGCTGCGCCCTGCATCCTTAAATTTAACTCAGCCCTTTTAGCGCGGTCTAGAAATTGATTTTCAAAAGAATTAACATAAACGGACAATTTAGTTAACCGGCCTTTTAAAGTACCTCTTTGTTTAATCAATTCTTTTATAAATTGAGCTGTGGGATCTAAAACTGGAGATTTAGGCAATGTAAGCTCAGCTTTGGACATTTTGGTGCTTTACTAGAAGTGGAGTTACCTGTAAGTTATATGACGACAGCAGTTCTATGAAGTACAAGTACTCTTTTAAATACGACTCAATAATTAATAAATTTAACGATAATATTCACTGGTATTAGCACAAAGTATTAGCACAAGGTTTTATGGAGTTTTGATGGAATAATCTGGTTGGAACGTCTTACCGAGTGATGTAGTTTATAGTTGTATAGCGAAGAATAAGTAGATCGTCTATTCAATTTCTTGATATTTCTGGTTCTTGTTAATTGTAAATCCTGGCTCGAAGCGCCAATGTTGAAAGATTGGTTTATTTTTACTTGTTTATTAGTTTAATTGTACAAGATATAGTGCAATCAATAGTCTTTACAGCCTTAAGATTATTAGCGTTCACTAGCGAGCACGTTGCTATTCGAATCCTTCTGACAGGCTTCTTTCAACGGCCTCTTTCCTCACACGTTCCGGTCAACGCTTTAACAATTTTATATATTTGAGTTACCTCAATTATATATCATAGGTACACTAGTTTTTTAGTAAAATTATTACATACCTATCTAATAAATAAATTCGAAATACAACACCAAATCTACAATGTTTTGCCAAACACTTGAAAGTCTACGAGAATGTCGATATATTTTCTTTCCGAACTGGAAGATTCATGACGTTTAGTGAAAAAATGTTATATTTTAATGCCGAATAAAAGTGTTTAATTCGAATATGAATTGAGGTTTTTTTGTATAATTTAACGTAATTTAAAACTTTATTTTATTACATAATTATACTAGCGGACAAACAAAAACAAATCTATCCCACGGGAACCGTAAATTTTTCCGGAATAAGAAGTAGCCTATGTGTTATTCTGATGTATATATGAGCGATTAATGTAAAGTTTCATTAAAATCACTCGGTAGTTTTTGCGTGAAAGAGTAACAAATATCCATATATCTTTACATCCAGATATCCACACATCCTCACAAACTTTCGCATTTATAATATTAGTAGGATTACTTCGAAAAAAAATTTACAACATTTAAAAAAATCCAACTGTGTAAAAAACGAACCAAAAAGATAACACCAAGTTGACAAATGAACAAAGTAGGTTTTATATCGTCGGAGGCGTACACACACGTAGCAAGACTCGCAGCAAGTAAAAAACATGTACACTCGCGTTATCAAGATGAATTTACCGACGTATGAATCATAAAAATCGGTTAAGCCGTTTAGTAATTAAGATTGAACATAAGATCCGACATATATGAGGTTTAAGATTCATTTATTTCTCAAAAGAATACAATTCACTTACTGAGAAACATTAGTTTTACGTAGGTAACATTGTAAACGGGCAGCTAATCTTTATATATATAATTCTTCTGTGAGTGTGTATGTCACAGAACTTCTCTCAAACGACTGGACCGATTTTGATGAAATTTTTTGTGTGTGTTCTAGGGGATCTGGGAATGGTTTAGATTCACAATTTGAATAATAATTTTCATCAAAAAAATTATTAAAAAAAGTTTGAAATTTTCAAATTAAAGACGTGTAGACAGGACAACGTCTGTCGGGTCCGCTAGTATTTATATAAAAAAATATAATATATTTTGCGGGTAATACAAACTATTTTATGGATTAGAACTCGGAATAAGAATACTGGAAGTGGCTTTAAGTATAAAATTTTACTGTCATATATTATGTTGTTAATTCAATTCAAATATAAAAATAATATATACATAGATACATACATACAGGTAATATATACGTAAACAATAAACAAGTTGTTAATGTTTGTCTTGACCCTTAAAATTCTACCGCACTTTGTTTATTTTCTAATAGGTGATTTAAGAAGTTTCAGCAAAGTAATTTTCGGATAATTACAAAACTTGGGCACCAAACAACTGACCGTGACGGACGCTTCATGAAACAACTTAATGTACCGAAAACTTGCCTTTGTGTGTCTTATAAACTCCGTTCAGTTTACGAATGTAGGTGTCACTAAATTTTCAAATGAGCTTGGTGATTAAAATGAAAGAAATTTATAAAAACGAATGATCATATTATACAAATAAATATGAAGGATGTAAAAGAATTTGTAATTTCAACGAAAAAAAAATTCCTTTGATAAAATGGAAATTAAAAAAAATTGTTACCTTATTTTCTATAATTAAATATATTATGTATTATAATTTAACTTTTATATTTAACTTTGACGACACGCTTGGCTCAGTTTGTAGTGACCCTTTTTTCTGTGCCTGCGGTCGCGGGTTCGAGTCCCGCTGGGGGCATTCATTTGTGTGATGACAAATGTATGTACTCCAGTCGTGGGTGTTTATATTTATAATATGTATGTATTTAAAGTTATATGTGTGTAGTGTATCATCTGTCTGGTATCCATAACACAAGCCTCATAGCTTACCATGGAACTAGATGGCGCTGTGTGTTAATGTCCCAACGTATTATTTATTTATAATAATATCCACTTTAGGAATTCAATATTTTTTCCGTCGTCTCATAAATAAGAAAAGGCTTTATATTTATAGTCTATATAATATATCTAGATTCTCTCATGTACATTGTACAATGTACATTATACTTGGTTCAATTTTTATCAATTATGCCGAAAGATCTGCTACGAAATTTACAGAAGTGGCTGCGTTACAACTTCTACGCCGCGTAGCGCACGAGATCATGCGCCTGATCTCCCTTTTAGAGTGACTTTGAAAATGATAAAAAGTTTTTTTATCATTTTCAAAGTCACTCTAAAAGGGATATCTAAAGGGGATGTACATTTCATCCTTATCTTAGCACTAGTGTGCCCATCGCCCTCCATGCCCTATTAATTACGACGTATTGAGGGGAAAAATAAAAATTATTATTTTTTTTCACTTCATATTTCTATTGTTCTAAATAAATATTTCATTGGGAATTATTTTATTGACCTTACAGAATAACCTGGTTGGTACACTTGAAACTTTGCTTTATGCCTCAAGAATCGTATACAAAACGGAAAACTAGGTCTGGACTTTAAGTTCGCGCCTCGCTGCTTCTTAGTATGTTCTTACTACATGTACCTAAATACTATATATAGTATACTATAGGTATGTAGCTATAGCTAAATAGGTTACCTTTTTATATGATATTTGTTTCTGCCCGAGGCTTCTACGTGAAATGGATTCTCTTTCTTTTTTTTTTCTTTGGCAGCATCATCTCATATGTTGAGTACTTTAATGTTATTAAGATAATATTGATGTAGAATGTATATACCTCAACAACCGTAAGACAAAATAATTCTCAACATGTGAAATTGTGTTCAAAAGCTTAAAAACTTATAGTTGTTATTTATGGGACTTTTTTATTTAATCTTTATTTATAAGTAACTAGTTTTTGCCCATTGCTTCGCTCGCGGGGTGGTGATCAAGGGTAGCCTTTGTCCGAGCCTAGGATGCAATCTATGTCTTTGCCAAATTTTATCGAAATCTGTTCAGCGGTTTAAACGGAAAAGGTTAAAGACAGAGCAGAGTTATTTTAAACTTTATAATATTAGTAAGTAGAAAGTGTAATGTATAAATATCATATATCTTCATTACTTCACACTTGTAAACATACTTAGTGTTAAAGTTAATATTTGCAATTAGGAAATTGAGTCTGCTATTTCCGTTGTAGTTTGCTGACCTAGTTACAGTATATCAAAGAGTCATTGGCACGTTGGTAAAGATAGAAGCTTAGCTTATATTACTATTGTAACATTGTTTTTAATTCTTAATCCAGTAAATAAATAATAACGTTGGTATTATTATTTTATTGTTAAAAGTGTAAGATCACTAATAATACTTCGAGATATTCCTTGCTTATATTGTTATATCCAGTACTTTTATAATCGTCAGTGAGTTATATAATTTAGAACCATAATTTTCAGTATTACAAACTTTTCGTGACTAGTCACTCCAGGCACAGGGTAGTACCCCGTCGTTTGTGCAAAAACGCGGAAAAACAAATGAATATCCGCGCCTTTTTTTTAACATATTTCTATCGGCTAAGGTGACATAACTAAATGCCTTATACATAAATCATTACAAATTAATCAAATATATTATTTTCTATTAAAACGTTCAATATATAAAATATGCAACCTTACAAAAGCAACATACATTTCGTTTATGTCATAAAAATTTAGAGAAAGTTTGTTACTGAAAAGTATTGGGCTTATCGTGTAAACAGCTCTCATAAAGCCGGTGTATATTTTTAATTCAGCAACAAAAAAATACTTATATAAAAACTACTAACAATGACCTTTTGACTCAACTTACACTCAAAATACAGACTAATCAATTTAGGAATAACGCGATTTATAAATTAGAAACTTCTCTTACATAGTATTACGTATTTACAAGGGCCTTAACATTTTACGAAGGAAAATTTTAGTTGTTTGAAGTGCTTTAATATGTATACTAGCGATTCACATTCGCTTCGCTCGGGTTCGTCCCTAGGTCATTTTAATTTTTTTGAGTGGAACCCTAATTCTTTTACTGAAATAAAAGTAGCCTAAGTTACTCCTAATAACATCAACTACTTACCAGTGCAAGCCCCGTCAAAATCGGCCCAGACGTTTCGGAGATTAGCCGGAACAAACAGACAGACTGAGACAAAAATTTTAAAAATTGTGATTTTCTTATAAATACCGTATATAAATAATTTCAAATGCATTTAGTAAAAAGCTGTTATTTTGACATTACAAACACACACTTCAATTTTATTTATCTGTATAGATGTATAGATTATAATAAAATCTCATTATATCCAGATAAAAAATGTATTTATATTCTATATTTATTTATAATTTAAAAATAACACATAAATGAGTAATAGTCGCTGACGCTTTTTGCTGTTGTGTTTATATTACCCAGCAAAATGTGAACAATAATTAATTAATCAATATCGATCTCTTGTAGAGAGAGTTAGAAAATATAAGAAAAAGACTATTTTCTTGGTATATTTTCATGGTC